ACCCTGATTGCAATGAAATTTCCTTCAATGAACAATGCTGAAACGCAACGGCCAGCTTACCTTGTACTGGCCATTTCTCGATGCCTCATTTGTCGCTGTGTGGGAGGCCGGGCGTTCTGAAAAGTCACGTTGGCAACAAACTTACCCAGCTTTGGTGCTGCACCTGCAACATCTTTGGCAATCTTTGGCTGCCACCGCCGGCGCGGCGCTTCGCTCCCTGGCGCTGTAAATGAAAGGAAACGTGAAAATGGTTGTTGGCAAACACGGAATAAATGTCTGATCAACCATTTTGAAAACTATTCCCCTCCCTGCAGGTTTGCAGGAGGGCACAAAAGAGCAAAAACATGCCAAAAGTCAAACAACTTACAACGCTCTAAGGCTGAAGGAACATCCAACCATTCCTTCCCAGGGGGAAGCCCATGGAAACACCAAAAAACTGACCAGTAGAATGTCCAAAATGGATGCAAGGAACACACTAATATTTATTCGGAGGCAAAAAGAACAGTGGAAACTTCTTTCGCTGACTATCAGCTTGTTTCCAAACAAAAGAAGGTGTTGCCAGGTTTTATATTCCATTCAGACCCCTTATTGATTCGTTTGCGAGGCAAATGAATGACACTCTTAACGTTTTTGACTTGGAACTGTTGAGTCAATTTTCACATAGCCCACCAAGTCTGAACAGTTTGCTTTGGTTTTGGATTTTTTTATTTTGATGTTCGTTTATTTATATTTGTATCACATTTCCCTTCTCCGGATTTCAAAACAGGAAAGAAATCAAGGAAAAGGACAACAAAAATGAACAAACAAATCAACGGAAAGGGAAAAGGATGGTTTCTCCTCCAGACCTCATTGCCAAAAAACGGGGTGGACCCCGCTCCAGAACCCCCTGGCAAAGATTCCAATTATTTTTTGCTTCTGGATTTTGAAGCGGGCGCAGAACTTGAGCCACCAAGCACATTTGCTATATTGGAAACTAAGCAAACTGCAGGCTGGAGCCTACTCCCCATCTCCCCCCTTTGTTCGGAAAAGTGCCTTTTCTCGGTCGGACTTGACGGGCTTCGGTTGGAACCGACACGCCCGGATAACCTCCGTCAACGTGTCGAAGCTTCACTCGGGACAAGGTGGACAAAAACTTGCCCATAAGAGCGAGTTGGAGACGTTGTGAGCCAAGGACCTCGACAAAACTGCGAACGAGATGGGCACGCTCAAGTTTCTTGTTGCAACAGCTTCAACCAGCGGAAGTTTGGCAGTTCTTTCTGCAGCGAATGAAGCTGTGAGATCGATCGGTGGCAACATCATCAGGCTGTTGGGGTCTCAAACATGTCGCTCGGTTGCCACACTAGCTGTTTGGACATCTGTCTGGCGCCTCGTGCGAAGATTGCAGAGCAATACACAACACACTTGTTCCTAGTAGCGTCCTTGCTCCTAGTAGCGAGCATTGAAAAAGAGTGGCAACCTGTACCTGGGCCTCCCCTGCTGCTCAGCCAGTTCCACCTATAGAACGCATTATCATTACGGCACTGCTTCTGCGCCTGAACATCCCGCGCCAATGATTGAAGATCGGGTGGCAATATGAATAATTACCTTTGTCTGGACAGTCGAGGATGTTCTTTTCCTGTCTAGTCTGGCGGTGCTTCAGTTCAGCCTTCTGGGTTGTTTCAAGCCGACATTCACGCCGCTCTTTGAGCTGGGCGCGTTGAGCGGGGGAATTACGTCGCGGCGATAGCTAAAAGATCAGGCTCATGGGTGCGGCGGCACCAAGTCATATCAGAGTCGTGCCAGATTATCACCCCAATCCTAAGACAGGTAGCGGGCCCCAGGCCGCTGCTTGGTCCAGGGTCCTCCGCTGGCAAGTCCATCCATCGCGTATCCGAACAATCACCACCTATCTTTTAGATGGGGGAAGGAAAACATCCCAGGCTGCTAGCAGCTAGCCACTAGATGATCCTTAGGGTTTGCACTGTTTCATGTTAATACGGTAGTGCTGCCCTTCTCTGCAAATCTGGGCACCGGCCCCGTGCCCATGCCTTGACGCCCTTCGGTTAACCAAATGTTAAAGGAGTGGACGCCCGTTGCCGCTGACCCACTTAAGCCCTGCGCTTTATGGTGCATATTGACCTTTCCCTTCTTGGATTTTGTGGCAGATTTGCTTTGATGTTGATTGGTATCAATTCGTCTTCAATGCCCCGTGGTGCGAGATATGCTGTCCGAGTTGCCATGCACTATTGGTATGTCGTGTTTCTGGTTCTTCTCCTCCTCCTGCTCTTCCTCTTCTTCTTCCTCTTCTTCTTCCTCTTCCTCTTCTTCTTCCAGTTCCTCTTCCTCTTGCTCTGGCTTGCTCTCTTCCCCTTGCTTCTTCTCTTCCTCTTCTTCTTCCAGTTCCTCTTCCTCTTGCTCTGACTTGCTCTCTTCCCCTTGCTTCTTCTCTTCCTCATCTTCTTCTTCTTCTTCTTCTTGCTCTGGTTCTTTTTCTTTCCTCTCGTTCCCTTCCTCTTCAACAGAAAGAGAAAAAATCAGAAAGGGAAAGAGGAAGAGGAAGAGAAGAAGACAAACGAGAAAGAGCAAGAGGAAGAGCAAAAGAGAAAGAAAAAGACCAGAAAGAGAGAGAGAGAGAGAAAGAGAAAAAGAACGAGGAAGAGGAAGAGGAAGAGGAAACGAAAAAGAAGAGAACCAGCAAGAGAAAAAGGCCGAGAAAGAAAAAGAGACAAACATGAGGAAAAGGAGGAGGAATGTAAACAAATGAAATAGTACGGTCGCCAGACTCCCTGGCCTAAATGGGCCCCCAACATTCTTTTGCCAGCAGTAAGGTTGCAAGATTCTCTGGCCTAACTGGGTTTCAAAAGAATTTTTGCAAAGGAAAACACACCGAACAACCTCCCTCATACCGGCCGGTGCCCGGCTGTCAGGTCTAAGCCTTTAAAGCAGTGTCACATCTACCATCCAGGCGTGCAAGAGACAAACGTGTATTCAAAGCAGGCTAGGTTTGCTCAGCGCTTTTAAACTCGTCTTTGTCAACTGACTCAAGCAAAGCTGGAACGCTGCAAGGTTTCATGTAAATCCCCTCTAAAGGTCTAAAGGTGATAGAAGAACAATGCACTTGCAAACCACTGCGGGCACCACGACATTTACAATTCCGTGCTCGCCCCAAAAAACACTAAGAGTCACTTTGCGGCGACAAAAGACAAAATGAACCCACCCCTCATCAAATGAAAAACAACGAAATCTTTGCCCACCCTGCCTTTGCTGCCATACCCTGTTCTTGTATCCTTCAAAGTCAGGTATCAAAACAAAGCCTTGAAACTTCTTGAAACTTTGATTCCGTTGCTTTTTCGTGCATCCAAAACGAAACTCAAAAAGCATCTGAAATGTCCTTGCCTTCACCATCCTTAGGGCATCTTGCTCTCGTGACGCCTTGCCTTTCCTTCCATCTCCTTTTCTCTCTTTTCCTTTCTCTCCTTTTCTCTCTCCTCTTCCCTCATCTTTTCCTTTTTTACCTTTTCCGCCTTTTCCTCCTTTTCCTTTTCCATCTCTTCGCGCGGTTGGAGGAAGAATCTCATCAGGCCCAGATGGTAACCTTTGGCCAGTTTCCTGGAATGCAGGAACAGATTGCATGGATTTGCTAGCCCTCACCGGAGTTTTCGCATTTCAACAAGTGCTGCCAATCAGTAGTCAAGTGGTTGTCAGCAGTTCCCCATCAACCTGCGCGATTCCCTTGCTGTCAGGAGTCTTGCTCTAGCTTGGCTTTGAGCTTCTGCAAAATCAAGATGGAACCCTGGGCTGGCAAACGCAAGTTCAAACCAACAAAACCAACAAATCCAGAATCCTGTCGTGCCGGCAAAACAAGCTCATCCAAGCGTCCAATTTTTGCGGAGAGAGCTTGTCCCAGTAGATTCCAGTGGGTTTTGGCAAACTTGGTGGAACTCGGATAGTCCTTGAATATCTTGAATTCTAGCAAACTCCATACTGTTGGAGGCAAAACCGCTCTTTATCAGCGAATGCAACTTGAGACGTTCTGTGTCGGCGCCCCTTCAGTCCTTGTAGGGGTGCAAATGATATCCACTGGCACATCATGGCAAAGAAGTTGTTCCTCGAAAAACCACCATTTTTTTTAATCCAAGTTGCCGTTTCTGGTTCTTCTGGTTCTGGTCCCTTCGGCTCCCTTCACGTTGAAAAACAAAGGACGGGAGGGACACCTGAAAAGTGTGGGGCGAAAGCCAACTGTGAGAGACTACTCCCACACAGACCCCCTGTTAATACCCACTTCGTTCGCAAGATTCCATTTAAGTGCTCAAAGCGGCATCTGCCGTGTCTTGTTTTGTCATCTTATCGCTGGGGCCTGTTTTTCAAAGGGGCCCTCTCTTGGCCTTAAGACGACCATCAAGCAAAACGCAAAAGGGCACGAACAAAAACTCCTTCAAGTCTTTTCTGGAGGAACTTGGTGTTAGAACCAACCTTTTCGCAGGTGCTCCCGCAAGATTCTTTTAAAATGCTCTGCCTGTCCTGCTTTGTCCAAGGTCTTATCGCCAGAGCTCGCTTTCTCAGAGGTGCCCTTTTTTTGCCTCGAGACGGCCTGCAAACACACCACAAAAGGGCACCAGCCCCAGAAAAGCTGAGCTGTTCTTCGATTCTCCGCATCTAGATCTCTGTAAGTCACACTATCTTTCATGCGTACCTTGAGTTCACGCATAGCTTGACCCGACGACAAAAAACAAGTTAACTCTGAATCAACAAAATCAGTTGTTTTGAGTCGACAATTTGCCAAAGCACTCCAAAGGACCCAGTCATGCCCGGTGCAAAAGATGCTAGCATCAGCCGACCAAGGCCGTCATAGCGGTAAAATTTGCTCTAAAACCTCCTATCGGGCTTTCATAATAAGGCGTTTGGACCTCTTTTATAAGGCAACTCCACGTATTAAACTGGACCCAAACACCTTCTTTCTCATTCTCTTTACTCTTTGTTATTGTTTTACTTTGTGTTCGCAAATAACTCCTCAACTTCTGCTACGGCGCAGAAGGAATATCATCTACGAGCTGGCAATCGTGGATGCAGCTCACCACCTCAACTCCCCCATTTGCACTTGGAACACAAATAACATATGGAACAAAACGACGTGAAATGTTCTTCTTCCACGCCACGGGTGTGGTGTCATCAATGGCCCCCATTAGCCGAAGCATCCCATACTCTAGCTCTGCAAAGCCTCAAAATCCCAAAGGTCCCGTCTTCGCGAAAGAAACGAAAGGAAGCGAAAGCAAAAGTCGCCCGGCAGTGTTGACATGGTTGGCCTATGCAATTATGCTTCAACAGCCAAACCTCGATAGCGCGCCTTCTCCCTTCCCTATTCTAGCTCCATTCGCAGGATTGACTGCGACCGATCCAATGATGACCATATCAACCTGTGACAGCGCCACGCATAGGGCATTCCGCAATGGTTTCCAGCATCGCGGCATAGCGCATCATGCCGCAATCATGCTTCGCACGTCGTTCTTCGTACCTTGAGCTTCGCATCCAGATCAATGGGCTCGCCAAATGCCACAACGCCTGCCTGTGTACAAGCATATCCTCAGAGGTGGAACAGTAGCGAGGTCTGACTTTTCATTTTTTGCGCTTAGTCACCATATTTATCCATCGGGATCTTTGCTGGGTCCAACACGCTGAAGAACCCTGTGCGAAGCCTCAGTCTTTGGGTGAAGGATCGGCCATGTGTCTTGCATGGGTTCTGTGACACAAGAGCTCACCTTGGCTGCGGCACCAACAGCATTTTCCCAGAACGGAGCACTGTTGCACGGACCTGAACGGTCGAACAGGATGTTGTGGAATGGCTTGTCTCAGTCTATTGAACATGTTTCTCAGTGAAACTTCACCATTTAGCCCGAACCATTGGCCTGAATGAGCAAATTTAATCATTCAATTTGCTTGGCTTAGCTTGATGGCTAGGAGAGAGTTCTTCCACTGTCTCTCTCTCTCTCTCTCTTTCTCTCTCCACCTTTTCGTTTTCCTCGTTCTTTACTATCGTGTTCTTAAAAAGGCCTCTGATTGAGGACGATCTGGGTTGACCTTCACCCACTTGGCGCTCTGGAACTCAGGTAGCGCTGCCACCTGCGGAGCGAGGCAGTTGCCCGGACAGGCTTTCAAGTAGATTTCGGTCTTTTGGTCGACAGATGTAAAAAATGCCAGTGGCCTCCAACCTAGTAGCGATGGCCTCCAACCTAGTAGCGATGGCCTCCAACCTACTAGCGATGGCCTCCAACCTAGTAGCGATGGCCTCCAACCTAGTAGCGATGGCCTCCAACCTAGTAGCGATGGCCTC